TTCGGAGTGACGCGATCTTGCCACGTGGCAGGCCCTGGTTGGCCGGGACTGCTGACGTGGCTGCTGACGCGGCTGCTGACGTGGCCCCCCCCTTTTTTTTTTTTTTTTTTTTTTTTTTTTTTTTTTTCCCCCCCCCTTTCCGGGGGCTACAGTTGACCATATTTTTTAAAAGATGAATACTCAACTTTATTAAAAGAATACTTATAACTTGATTTCAAAAAAGTATATGTTCTAAATAACTTTGATATTCATAACATATATTGTTACACAAATTAATCTCTAAATCATACACAATTACAAAAAAAAAAAAAATAAATCAAATAAAAAATATAATATTTAACGTAATTCTATAAAACAAAATCGAGAATAAACTTTTTCATTATAATTAAAAGATAGTACATATGATATAGATTAATAGATATCATATATAGAGAAACTATTAAAGTTTTACTCTTACAAAAATTTTCAGGATATATACAAATTATTTCTTATGATAAATACAAAATATTCTTTCAAAAAAAATAAATATCACTCGGGATAAATATAAAATAACATAGATAAGATATTCCCAGAATTAAGCCACATAAATAATTTTTTTTTATTAACTTGAATTCTCTCTATTAATAAAGAAAATAATTATCTCATCACATTGTCTTGCCAAACTGCCCTTATAGGGGCACTGCCCAACCAAGTCTAGGCTGTGCCTAAACTTGCTACATGATCCCCGAACAAAGTAATATCTATCATCAAGTTCTTCATATATAGCACCAAACCCTGACATGCGTATGAACTACTTGGTTTTTATAAACCAACTGTCTTTGCAACTAACAAGACATATGTAACTAGATTTTCATACTTATGTTGTAACACCCAACATTTTATTTTTTTTATTAATTAATTAATTATTATTATTATTTATATAAATATAATTATTATTTATATGATTTTAATTTAATTTATTTAATTTTAATTTGATTTAATGAAAATAATAATAATAACAATAATAAAAATGGTAAAAACTGGTTAGGGATATTCATTATTTATGTGATTGTGTTTAATTTGGTAACGGAGATTAATGATAAACAGAAAAGGGGTGTGATCTAATAAACAGATAAGGTGACAGCCTCACTAGATATCCTGAGAGATGGTGGATGAACCGAGTTCATAGGGAACCCTACTGTGAACATTGTCTCTGTAACAGCCCCGGAAAAATTTAATATTGGAAAGGCATATATATAGATAAATAATCTGAATTTGCGGAAGCGTATTAAACATTGCAATTAATATCCCTTACGTAATACCAAAACGTGTTCAACAAATGAGAGAATAAACTAATTAAAATAAATGCTCGAAAGTAAGAACTACAATTATAACTATGAGATCTTTAGGCGTCCCCTTCGCCGTCTTCCTGCGGAACGGGCTCGGGAACCACGTCTTCCTGATATGAAATGGTTAAGTAAGGAGTGAGCTACACTAGCCCAATAAAGACATCACTCTACCTCACTGCCACAGGAGTAAGGGTGGGTAGAAAACAAAAACGACAAATGGAGCATAATTTGTAATAAACCCATTTGTTCATAAAAACGTTTACTTTCCATTTACCTGGGTGAGATCCATAAAACAATACACAAGCAACACATTATCATCATCACGTTATCACATAGACTTTATAATACAACATTTATTATGCGTTTGCATTTCAATCTTTAAACAGCATAATTCCTATTTACCAGCCTACTAGTATCCATGGGGATCCATAGGGGTCCCACTACCCGTGAACCCTTAACATTTATAACCTGATTCCAGGGCCGTCCCCGTACCCCGTCCAGTATGGGCGCCAAAACCATGAACCTCAATACCCCGTCCGGTATGAGGGTGAAACGGGCCGTCCCCATACCCCGTCCGGTATGGGCGCCAAAACACATAAGTTCTCCATACCCCGTCTGGTATGAGAGACCACGTTCCCGGTAGGGTTCTCTACGGACCCGGTCCGTCCATCATCTCCTAAGAT